AGTGTAGAACACTAGCATTCAAGTCCTCAATTTTAAACAGTTCTTTGATTTGTTCGACTTTTTTTCACGTATTTTTTCTCTAATTCGGTGTATAGATGTTTTATTTACTATTAACGGATTTACATCAATATTTAATGATGAACATAAAGCCATAATCAAACGTACAGCATTCCGGTCGCTTATTTTACAATAATCCAAAATTGCAGCTAATTTATCATCTATGATATTTATTGTTCCACGAGATTGCATCGGTTCTTGGTGCTGAGGAACTACCAGTTCATCAGAAAAATTTGATATAGATGATTTTGTTTTCTGACTCAACGGAATTGCACCTTCCACTTCACTGCTTGACGTGAATTCCACAAAGTCATCTATTCAATTACATGAAATGTATAAAAATAAAAATGTATGATTAAAATTAAGGTACAACATTTTATAAATTATTTTAAAATGAACTTTACCGTATTGAGCTCTATTCAATTAACGTGAAATGTATAAAAATAAAAATTTATGATTAAAATTAAGGTACAACAATTTATAAATTATTTTAAAATCAACTTTACCGTATTGAGCTTTTTCTCTCTCCGATTTTTCCCGCCGTAGCTGTAGTAGTTCATCCTTCACTTTTTGTACTTGTTCATTATCATCAGACTCAATATTAGCTATGAAATCAATTATACCATCTTTTCGTTGCTCATTTAAAAAATGCATTGTAGGTTCGTTGACCATTTTTTCCACATTCGCATGAGCAATGTCGAACAAATTCAAAAATGATAATTTAAATTCGTCCTCCTTAGTTTTATTTGTGTCTCTGTTTACAATTTTTTTGATAATCTTATATTGTTCATGTAATTTCAACAAATACTGTATACAATGATCTTTTCTTCTAGTAGGTATCTGAGCCTTTTGCCAAAATATTTTTACTTCATCTATACAAAGTTCAGCACTTTCATGTAAAATAAATTTAAGAATACGTATGTAATAAAAAAACACTTTCAGCACTTGTAACTTTGATGGTAATTTATTACTGACAATTTGAGTATCAACATCAAACATCAAACATTACATAAATATTTTGCTGCAAAATTATTCTTGATGCCATGATGAATAGATTTATAGAACAGCTCACGTGTATTTATTAA